CCCAGTTCTATTTTTGAGGTTAAACAGAAGCAGAAGGAAATGTCTCCTTTTGAAAGAACATATATGGTTCATACTAACTGTCGATTTCTATGAAACAATGGCTTTGTCTTCATATCTTCCCCATCCACCTCACGGAAAGATATTGTTGAACTGAAAGAAGAGAAAGTGGAGTTAAAGCTCTTGGTGAGAGTGAATGAGTGTTTGTAATGTCTTTGCCTCCCTTTTTCTCACCACACACTAATGATTAAAACTGAGTTAAAGCAACTACTATTAGACTACACTGAATTAGACAATTAAACAGAGCAACAACAAGTTCAAGTAATTACCAGCCAGATGCGAACACCAAGAAAGGGAGTATTACATTCCCTACACCACTGTGACTGCAAAGAAATAAAAGAATGTAAGTGGCTTTTTCCGACACCCTACAATCACGAAGTCATTCTCCCTTGTTCAGTAATTTCACAGGCAGCGTAACCCTCATAAATGGTTCCCATCCACAAACACACACACAAAATCCATTCTGTGCTGATGTAGCGTTCAGAAGAATATCATCATTACATGCTTTATCAAATCTATACCTAACATCTCATGGTACAGTACATGTAAATTCTGCAGATTGAATCTGTTTGTGTAAACTGGAAAAAATAGAGAAAGCGATAGCACACAGCCTGAGGGGAACCCTCATTATCACAGCTTTACTGATACTGTTGGTAGCATCAGCAAGAGACTTTCTCCCGTTCACAAGGCGATAACTTCAAGGACCTTGATTAATGTGCAATACTGAGGCAAACGAATTCAAATCTACACAGCAACTTCTGCGATCTGGATGAGTCTGATAAGTAGCTGGAAGGCATGAAAATTCCTATCTGAACTTATTAATGCATACTAGAAAAAAATACTTTTTTAACAGTAAAATCTATAGCGCACATACACCACAGCTGAATTTATCTCATAAATGGTTCCAAGGGAGGGAATGGACTTAGTGTTCCAGCCACCCTGATGGCACAAGAGGATAGTTGCAGTAGTGTCTACTTTTCATATCAACATCCCCAGTCTCCTGAGTGAAATATGGGGACTTGAGTACCGCCAAGGAAACAATGGTTCTATCATCCCACGATGGCAGGGATATTATGTTAGCTTTAATGAATACATTTGTCAAGAATATTCTGGGTTATAGAACTATCCATGCATCAGGCATGAAAATCAATTTTAATAAACCAACCAACTAACCAGCCAAAACTTTAAAGCACCTATTTCATGTACACCACCTCTCTTAGTAAGTCCTTTCTATGAAGTTTGTGAGCGTCCTAAACAATTATGTTGAAGACAATTATATTTTCATTCCAGGAACAAGCTCTACACTTGAGTCTATGTGTGACGCCATATTATAGGCTTTCATACCTACACTGCACTTGTTTTATTCAAGGAAACATATGGAGGGCCTGATGCAACATTTCTAGGGCCAGCTCCAGCCCAAGATCAGGCTCAGCTGTAGAAAACAGATGTTTTTATTTCTTACTACTTTTAAGCTTTAGGAAGCTTTTCTTCCTAATAGGACTTCCTGCTGTTTAATAATTAACTGAAACTATTCTGGACACAGCTCCAAGGATAAATACAGAGATAGTCAAAATACCTGTAGAGGCTTTCCTTGACGAGTCTGCCTTATAACTGTGAATCTGAAATTTGCACATTATATTTAATACTGGAGAAGCCTAAATATATAGGATTATTTAAATGTTTAATTATTTAGCATGCTTTTCACACTTGAGTATCTCAACTCTAATAACCTGACAGGGGTTGTGGTTTTTTGTTTGGTATTTGTGCACATGCTGGTGTGTTTTGTGTTTTTCTTTTTTTTGTTTTGTTTTGTTTTTTAAATTCCAGTGTCTACTTATTAGGAGAGCACTCGGATCACTAGAGCAGTTTCCACTGAGTAGCTGGTGAGTTAATAACAGACAGTGCAAATACAGTGACAAGCATCATACCAGAAAAGACCTAGAGAAAACACAGTAAACAACTCTAAAAAAGAAACCACTCTCTCTCTGGTGTCACTGAAGGTATCAGCTTCTCACATCTAAAAACCTCAAGAAAAGAGAGTGCCTGATAAAAGACAAGCTGTCCCAAATATCAGAAGGATGACAGAAAGTCACTCAGTTAAGAGACAGAATGTTTTTCATCTTTGCTGACTAACTGAACACTGAAAATCAACCAAGACAAAACTGAAGAGAACTAGAACATACCCTTGGAGGTCTGCAGAGGATCTCTGTTGAGTATTCCTACCCCTGTAGTAGCAGAACAGACCCTAAGAAAATGCCATGAGCCTTAAAATAATTTCCATCAGGCAGTAACAAAGTAATTTTGAGGGACTTCCTGGAGAGCAAAAATCTCAGAAAAATTGGCTCATGAACTCGCTTTATCAGCTCTCCATGGATTCCCACCACGTATTGACTAATTAATTTAGGCATCCAGAATATCTGAAAGGGATCAGGAAAGAAAAACAACTGCAAAGAAACATCCATGTACACCCACAGTTTAAAATGGTTATTCACAACCTTACATAATGTAACAGTTGTCCTGGAAGGACACATTAATACAGACCTTAAATAATAAGATTCCAGCCAATTTCCACAGTATCTTAAACAATCTTTACTCAAGCAAAACTTACATTTAATTCAGAATGTAAGTAACTGCCATGTAGCTTTTACGTTAAAGAAAATTACAGACAAGAAGCATTCTATTCATATGCAATCAGTATAGCAAGATGTAGAATCTCTGGGTTTTTTGAAAACTGCCCTGTACAAAATTGTATTAAATTACTATATGTGCAACAGAGAGAAATAAGAAATAGGGAGAAATAAGAAACAGAGAAATATTTCCATTGGAGCACCAAAGGATGGTAAGGTGTACAGATGGAAATGATAGGTTTCTCTGGCTTTGACTATTATGATTCTGGAGTGCAAAGAGAAGAATAAATGTATTGTCATTTATGCAAGCCTTGCAACCGACTCAGAAGACAGAAAGTATTAGCATATACAGCAAATAGCTGCCTACAGAAAAGCATTTTCACAGTACTACAAAGGTATCTCCTGCCACTAAATACACTGTAATAATTTGAAACTAATGAAGTCACGATCTTTTGTACAAGATTTGCAGCGATTACTTTACAATAATACACTGTTCTTATTAAAGATGTCCACACAGACAAGGAGAGGACTTGGCAGGGGGTGGGGGTGGCAGGAGGTTATGTGTGTTTAATTTCATCGATCATTTCCATTGCTGAAATAGGTATCTTTTGTTCCAAATTAGGGTGTAGAAAAAGTACATGTATTTCAAAGCACCAAATATTATCATTCAATATTGAGAAATGTAATTTAGTCTTTCTCAATACTACAACAAAACATTTTTGCTTAGGGAAGCAAGCAGATCTTTACATTAATAAGATACACAGGGTACACTTTCAAACCTTAACTTTTGTTGAAGAAATCCCCTATGATTTTATGTTCAACTGACCAAGAGAAAGCACATGAGAAGCAAGATATTAGCTTGGATTTAGGGGGTTTAGGAGCAGGACTATCAATTGAGCAAAACTTCAATTACAGACTAATTTAATGTATATCCGAGTACATTACTGCAATTCAATAAACACCTCTTCAGAATTAAACAATCCAATTTGCTTTCATTTCAACCCGTGTGCATGCATTACATATTTGCTATTATCCACACTAAAATTAGTCAGGCTGTTCGGAAGCACTCATCCATGCAATCCCAGTGTGTCACAGTGCTGCATCAAACTAACCTCAAATGAACCACTTCACCTTAAGAAGCAGCAGAGAAGGGTACCTTCCCATCGTAACATTGCTCTCCTAAAACTTCTAGCCAGGTGTCTGCCCGAGTAATCCAGCAATGAATCTATCAATGTCTCTCCTTGGTGGACATCCAACCATTCATGTTTGTAACTTATTTTTCTGGTTTTTCCCTTCATACATCAATGAACAAGAAAGTGTCAAGCATATTCTGATTTGCATATTCTGATGTTTTGTTGCTCTGGAAGATTGCTTTCCCTCTATTTAGCTATGATACAATACTAGATATGCTACTCCTGGCAACTCAATTCCATTTAATCATGAATTAATTTCTCTGGATTTGAACAAGATGCAAGTTCACCAAGTGGGAATTAAAAGCACTTGGCATCTAATAGGAGCATTCTCTTCATGATCTGTGTAGTCTGAGTATCTGCACCACACAACACTCTACATTCAAGGCATTGCAAAGGCATCAGTATCCTGATCAAATGACAAAGTTGGCAGGAAGTAGTACAGTGGACAGAAGTGATCTTGTTTCTACAGCAGCCCTCCATTTTCTCAGAAAAGTGAAACATTTAGATCAATGAAATTAAACTCCATGGGCAGACCCATACTTCAAACTCATCCCACCTCACATCATCCCCACCTCAAACTCAGAATGTCTCAGGAGCAACTTAGCCACCTTCTGATCTCCTCACCTAAGAGGCAGTGAGAGGGATCTTGCATGTGTCAGGCTCAGTATCAGTTCCTGAATCACAGTAAGTAACAGGGCTGGATTTTTAGCCGATGTTTCTACCCTATACTTCAGGACATCAGCAGAATCAATCCCCTCATTTACTCCCAGCAGTGCTAAGCAAACTCCTCTGACATGCAAGGCTCCATCACAAGATTATTGATGCCTGATAAAATACCGTAAAGGAAGGTAGATGAAGCTGACTGACAGACAAACTGTTTAGCTGACTACAGTAAAAGTATCCATAGCTACCATGCATTACTACAAAAGTTTATGAAGAGGGCTGTATGCAGACAAAGTTTCGATTCAAGCAAAGAAAATTATTGAAATTCATGTCACTTTTACACTTTTTTCTTACTTAAATTTAGTATGAATTAAATACGTTTCCACAGGATGTCAATTTTTATACACAGACATCTTGGAGGAAATACCTTGCATAAATCTGCTGGTTTACTGCAACTTACCTTTCACTATTAACTCTGCATAATTTGAAACTCCAGATCCACCATCTGAACGAATGACACATCGGTACTTGCTGATACTGCGTTGAGAGGTGTCAGCTACACTGACAGTAGCAGAAAAACGTCTGTGGTTGACCACTCGAGTGACCATTAATGCTGTGTCCCTTCCATTCCACTGCTGTAAAGGCAGACAAGAATAATGTAAGTCGTCTTAACATTGTTCAGACCTTCACGTTCACATCACAGGTTAGATTTTATACAAGCACAATTTTGCAAGAGAACACTGCTAGCCATTACCCCTGAAAAATTTACAGGGGTGTATGAACTAGGGCTTAAATATTCTTACACATACATTTAAGTTTTCATGTCTATTTAATTTCTGAAACGTGCTTTGGCATCTACTGTGGTACATGTATTGAAGAGGCTGGAGAATGACAGTTCAGACTATGCAACTGTACACCGTATATATAGAGGCCTGGCTAGGATATGAAAATAGTACAAATGAATGGACTTTTTTCACCTTGGAAAATGCTACAAATAAACAGATATTGTAAATTTGGCATTTTCAGATGTAAAACTTTGATTCTGGACCAATTTGAATAAACTGGTTGGATGAGCAGATAGGCTTATACGTCCAGCATTCCTCAATAAACCTCTCTACCAATGCCAGACTACATTTTCCCGACTGGAAAAGGAACACATAATGAATAGAAATAAAACTTCTCCACAGCATAAACACCTGAACTTGCCGAGTTGTCTAGTCTGTTCGGAGTTTCAAAGGAAAATACACTGCTGTTTTGCCAATTTCCAGTAATCAGGTTTTGGGGGTGTTTCCAAGGCTATTTTCATTAAATGTTTCAATTTTAGAGAATGGGAAAGAGGTTTCCACTAGCAACAATAATGATTTCCTTCCAAACCCCTGCTTCTCACAAGACAAGGTTCATACTGCTTCAGGTGAGAAGTGTTTTTACACACATCTAGTCATATCTGTGCTAAGATTTCACTGAAAGAACTCAAAAAAGATAAGAATAAGCCAAAAATAAATCTCAGTGGATGCAAAAAATACACCATAGGTTAATAAATTTCAGATTAAAATGTAATTTTTATGAGAACAGCTGTGATAAGAGTATAATTAAAGTGACTGTCAAGTTATTTTAAAATGATGCTAACTACATCTCTCACCAACACAAACTTTTTTTCCCAGTACTAATTTTTATTTTTGTGATTAGGTAAACTGAATCCTCCCCTAGTATTCAAACTTATTTGAAGTGGTTATTTTTAAAGTTAATTAAAATGTCTGAAGTCAATAAAAAAGTTTGAGAAAATCTGCCAGTTTTTTGACTCCAAATGCCATAGCAACCATGATAAAGGCCATTCTTGTCTGCCTCAGATGTTACAAATAGGGGGGGGTCAGGTCCTCAGTCACATCAGTCCAAACTGAGAATAAAAACTGTTGACTGGCTGAAGCATTCTGAAAGTTTACACTAGCCTGGTGTACATGCCCAGTACATATAGCAAGGGAATGCTTAACTCATTTGGGACGTTAAGTGTTCAGTGGCACAGAAGTTTAGAAGAAGCGAAGAGCTCAACTATTTTAAAAGCTTCTAGAAGAGCTCTCTGTACTGTGCATGGTAATGATGGGACCTCATCTCAGGGCACTTCAAATGGCAGAAGAAATAATTTTGTCCCTTACTAGGAAACATGCACTCCACATCTTCAGATTGACAGATGTTCCATTTCTAAGCCTAGAACTGAAAATGAGTTCTTAAGGTTGTTCCTATACCCACCTCAATAGCACAACCCGGCGTTTCAAGCCCAACCAGTATAGTGAAAATACAGACATTGAGAGAGGGAGTGTTTGGTCTTTTAGTGAGTGACTCAATGAAGAATCTGCTATCAAGGCAGCCAAGGGAAATTGAGAAGAAAAGCAGTGAGTACAAACTGGTTTTTCCTGTTTTCACCTTTCAGGTAGTAATCGAAGACTTCAGAGCAGACTTCCTAACATGTTATCACTGATTCTGAGCTAAGGACAGTTTGGGATCGTGAGAGGAAAGAAGATTGCATAAGAAAGCAGAAAGCGAAGATCTATTCTACTTGTTCTGTCTTTTTATGACTGAGTGTTCACAGGTGCATGGGCATTTGTTTGAAACTAAAATTTTGCTGTCAATGACCGTTTATTCCATCTTCTTTATCACAAATCTATACTCTGTCACCTTAAACTGTCACCTAGAAACAATTTAAGGCAGTTCTTAAAGGATCTCGATGAAAAGATTTCGCACCACCATCCCAGTCTTTCTTTTTCTACTTGTTTTACTTGAGAAAATAAACAAATCAAAACCAAACCAGCAAAAAGAAACCACCACAAAAGAAAAAAAGCACATTACCTGGAGCCAGAGTTTGTCATGCTGCGACCACTTTCCCCCAGCAATGCACTGGAATGTTGCATTCTGTCCCACATTAACCTCCACGTTCTGAAGCCGTAGGAAATGAGGTGCTTTTCCTAACAAAAGATGCAAAGTATTGCAAGGGTAGAGCAAGGCAGTAATGAGCTATGCACACCAACATAGACAGAAACACTCAGCAAAGCATTAGGGCCTAGCCTTGACAAGGGGATTTTGCAAAATAAAGCAGTTCTTCAGTATTTAACTATTCACAGCAGAGTGAGGTGGATGATCGATTTGACTGAGGATGGTCTAAGGGACCATACGGAGCTCTGGCACATCTCAAAACACACATCAAATCACAACACAGGTTCATCACGGTCATCAGCAAAATTTCTTACTGCTTGCTATAAAGAGTAATCAAGTAATTTCTTCAGAAAATTGTATTTCTATAAAGATCAAAAACAATCAAATGCTTCTGACCTTGTCAAGAAGGAATGACCCAAACCAAATTTTCGCAAGGGTCTTTTTTCCTTTTTATTTTATTGACTATCAAAAACATCCTAGGCCTTTAGAATAATATTGTATCATTAATATCAAATCAGATATTAAATGAAATATTCATATAACTGACAGCACTGCATCACTGTATTAGTTTAAGATCACTAATATCAGTGTTTTGCTGATACTAAATTCAGTATTAATTAAATATTAAGCCACTGACAATAAAAAAAAAAGGACACTTGTTCACATACAAAAGTCATTTGTTCACAAAGGAATTAGATCAGAGGATTATCTTTTTGACTAAATACCAGACTCATTTACCTCTGGAAGTTAACTTACGAGAAAATTAAAAAATATTATAGTATTGTGTCTGACACTTTTAAATGAACTTAGTTCTTGCTGACCTTCATAAGAAAGTTTGTGCACCATTTGAAAATTTTTAGTAGGACACACTGAACAGCCTTACGAGACTCTAAAGGTCAGAGTTTTTCAACTTTATCTTTTCTCATATGATTAGACACTAACGAAATACATAACTCCAGATGACATACCAAACCACCTTTTTCTACTAGAATCAAGTAGCTTGAAAAGGATGTGGGCATCTGTATCTGTGTATGCATGAAGCTTGACATGTATTTGTGTACTATAGGCACATAAACAGAGAACACATGCATATACACTACATCAAATATTTTTATCTAGCTTCTATATCCCATTCACCACATGCTCAGTTTGCTGACAGCTGCTGAAAGACGGTGACTCCATACCATCGTACTGTCTAGGGATCAGTGATTTGCATCAAAGTTTACTGGAAAAGTACCTCTGGGTGACAGTCAGAATGTACTACATATCTGCAGGCTAATAGTAGTCATTTCTGACTGCAGTCTAAGGTGGGCAGATACAGGCCAGCTCCAATCATGAAGCTGCACAGCCTGGGTGAGTGCAGTCACACCAGCCCCAAACTCCCGGTGCCTAGGTCTGCCCAGTGTCCAGCACAGGGCTCTCCTATGCCTGCAAGTGCTCCTGCACACACAGTCAATGAGCTTTTAGCACAAGGTAAATCGATACACAGTGCATTCCTTCACAAGACAAGGAAAAAGAAAAAAAAAAAAAAAGAGGCAACACCAGCAAGATATTTCTTTTTCTCCATTACTATGTCATTAGGGCATTTCACTCCCTTTTTGCTGATACTTAGGTCTGTCTGCTATACTGTCATCTATGAAGGTAAAGCAGAAATGAAGAAATAACACCAATAATTTCAGTAACCTCCAGGGTCATCAGGAGCTTCATGGTCGCTGCATTTTGAGTTATAACAATTGTAAAACGAGTATGAGGGGCAAAGCCTGTACAAGTCAATGGAACACACTCTGGTGACATTTACCCTGGTGGCTGTCATTGCTGAACAACAAAAGCAACACAGGGAATCAGACAGGAGAAGCATTTACAAAGACTGCAGAGAACTTGCAGCTTGTAATAAGTTCCGTACACTGCAGCTGGCAAACTGATTCAAAATGGACTACTTAACTGAATCATTTCAGTTTTGAGTCACCAAGAATGTGCTTAAATTTGAAGAGTGACCTGCATATATTTGGAGAAATGGATTTAAAATCAGTTTAAGTACTTGATTAAACAGTGGTGTAACAGCATCCTAGATCTCTTTTTTTTAAAACCCGTAACTTTTACCCCATACTTTGTTCATTGGCCTCCTTCCCAGTAAAGGGATCAGTCATCACCCAACATGCTGTGGAACGCACGCAGACCATTTGGGGAATTTGTCTGGATGCTGCCAGTTATCAGCAACATCTGGTTAATACAGATTGTAAGTATTTCTTAATGAAGTAAATGCACCCAAAGGCCTGAGCAATGAGCACATGGTAAATACAAATATAAATTAGTTAAACAGCAATTAACCATACTGCAGTTATCAGAAATGTCCTGTTAAACTTGAGCAGAACCCTGTCTGTCACACTGAATGGCAGTATTCTTTGAAACTCTGTATTGCAAGAAAACCCATTGATTTTGCTCCACTGATATGATCCATGGGGTTTTTTTGTGAGCAGGTGTCACTGACTTACTAAAACTGTGAACTAGTGAGAGGGGCTGTTAAAAAAAATATCTTTAGAAGAAACTGTATACTACATACACAATATAGACACACAAAGTAATCAAGCCCACCAAAGATGCGTAAAGAAACCAAACAAGTTCAGACTCAAAGACTGAGGCTCAAGGTTTCTTTAAATAGAAAAATACCCCAAACCCTAAGCTTATTATTATGGCTGCAATAGAAGAAATGGGTGCTAATATTTTTGAACAGCATAATGAACCTGAATCTACTCCTGTGCAACTGTAGTGTCTGAATGAGATTTATTTTTTAATATCTTTACAGGGGTGCTGAGTGGGTTTAACATTTGTTGAGAGGCAGGCACCTCTGGGATATGTCCTTTACCAAGGAAATAATGAAACAATTTGTTTGTTTCTTCTTTTCTTAAGTTAACCACCCAGGATATTATCAGAAGCTTTTAAAATTGTTTTCTACAGCAATATGATTCAGAATAAACAATCACTTTTATGTTCTTGTAACAAGAGGAAGAGAGATTCCCACAGATGTCCTGGCATTAGCTATAGAATGAGCACAGTTTTGCCTTTTGCACAACTTGAAAACATGTAATTTTGCAAGGCTGATTGTCTTTAGATGTTTCAGAGGGATATAAGAAGACATTTTAGTGCTGACCAAAGTGAGTAAATGACTGCTTTACACCGTAAAGCCTGGTGTATAACACATTGATACAGTTAGAAAAACAGAGTGCTCACTGCATGGATGGGCAAGAACTCTGACTTCATCCACAGCGATGTACCCTGGATGTCCTTTCAAAGAGACAGATTCAAATATCACCTGAAATACAAAATATGAAAAAGTTTTCTTAAAAAGAATAGCTATACTAGTTATTTGGCCAGTCACCATATTCTGCTCTTATTCCAAAGTCTAAGTCATTCAAGGCATTTCATCATTAATAATGAAGAATACCAAGGCAATTCAGCACGTACATGCACACCAAACATTGAAAATCTGTTTGACAGGGAAAACAAAAAGATAGAGCAACATTCATTAGGATTAGACACAACTACGTGCTTCTTTCATTTGGAAGAGCACAAAATACCCTGTGTATATATGAAACTATATTCACTTTAAGCACCAGTCCAAGAACATTAAGTGGATAATCATCTGACATCTTCTTCTTATAGCATGCCTTGGAAAGTTGGAGAATGCTGCACATGAGAGAAAATTCTCTTATTGAATCAATAACCCTCCATGGATTCATCTCGAGAAAACCTTGATTTGACATGCATGCCAGTGCAATATTAGAAAGCAAATTACAAGCAAGAGATGACCCTGGATTCTAGTTACTGGGCTGAAATAAGATTCTCTCAGATACAATAAAGTTGTTTCTGCCTTTCCCTGGATTGAAGTGACATGGTCTGAGAACGAATATTCTTAAAAACCACATGTAGTATTTCTCTACATTAATGGTACACGACTAGCACTTTCTGTTTTATTGATGTATCCAAATAATGAAAGTGTTCCACTAATCTAGGTCTGAATAGGCAGATACTCAATTACAGATGAACAAAAATCTAATTCTTCCCTATGGCTTTGTGATTTTACCTGGAAAACTGCCCCAATACAAAGTATCCTGTTACTAAAACTATACAGGCTATCTGAAAATCGGGGGGAAGCCAACAAAACTGATAAAGAGATCAATAAAAGTAAGTTAATTACTGCCATAAAATCTAACTAAAAATTCAGGAGAAAATAGTACTAAGTACGTGCAGTTTGCCCATCAATTAAAGATCATTAGGACATGAGTTGTAGACTGTGCCCTCATAGCAGTCTGCAACCTCCTCAAGGAGGGCAGTGGAGGGGAAGTGCCCATCTCCTCTCTCTGATGACAGGACAAGAAATGGGATGAAGTTGCATCAGGGGAAGTTCAGGTTGGACATCAGGAAGAGGTTCTTCACTGGGAGGGTGGCTGGTCCCTAGAACAGGCTCCCCAGGGAAGTGTTCATGGCACAAAGCCTGTCAGCTCAAAGAGCATCTGGACAATGCTCCTCAACATATGGTTTAGTTTTCGGTAGTCCTGTGAGGAGCAGGAAGTTGGATTTGATGATCCTTATGGGTCCCTTCCAACCTGAGATATTCTATGATTCTATAAAAAAAAAAAAAAAAAAAAAAAAAAAAAGCAGACTGATTATTTAACATCTTGGTAATGCTACCTCACAAGTTAGTGATTCCAAAGGAATGAAGGGCTCTCCTTTGCTGTTTTGTTTTGGTTTTTTTTTTAAAAAAAAAAGGGTGGAGATGTAATGGATGCTGTCCTCTGCAAGTGAAAGGCATGTCCCCAGTTTCATTCCCTCGTCCCAAACTAATGTTCACACTATATTAAATTGCTCATTTTTGCATGAGTATACAATAATGTTTTCATAGACAGAGTTAATTAACATTTTCAGCTGGCACAGTTATTACTATTAGAGCAGTCTTCTAGTGCAGCTATTTGTTTTGTAGAAGAAAGTATTTCAGTAATTTGTAACCACTAAAACCCATTACTAGAACACAAAATTTACTACTTAAAGCCAGTTTTCAACACCTATTTTCATTATAAATAACAGACTGGTATCCCCAGTCTGTCACTGGTTAGTCTCTTCTTCAACTCCTTCATCAGAAGATTTAATACAGTAAAAGATTCAACTGTCCAAATGTTGATCACTGCATGCCCTGGCTAGGAAAGTAGACAAATATGTCATTCATAAGTACAGAATTTCTGTTAATCATTTTGCTTTGCATTTGGGCTTCTGGAATATAGTTTTTACTCATGTTTCCATGACTTGCTAAGATCTGCTCCCTCAATTCAAAACACACCCAAATGTGAGATCTTCTGAAATACATCCATTAGAGAAAAAGACATGATAAAACCAGGTAGAACACAAAAATTAATAGGCAAAGATATAAGCTAAGAGAAGCTCAAGTGGTAACAATATGTAGAAACAATGTTCTACATTGAGGAAGGTGGCCAAAAACCAGGCTGTCCAAGGAACAACAGGAGGAAGCAAGTCTCTGGAAGATAAAATAATCCAAAATGCTGCAACAAGTGTATTGTGTTATCAAAGTTCTTGACAGGCTTTTTAGGGACTGTATAATATAGAGTATAATGCAAGTCCTTAGTACAGAAATAATTTATTTTAGAAATGAAATTTCATTTGTGACAAAAATTACACTTATTGGCAAGGTCGTGTAAACAGCTATTGCAACTCCCTTCAGACTTGAAGCGAAACATTACAGCTACAAAATCTTATTTAAGTTTTTCATTTGTGAATAGCCACAAGCCACAACGAACTAATTCTGAATTTCTTGCAAGTCAAGAACTTGGACAAAAAAGTTCTCCAAGAAAGACACTGGCATTACCTATTAGTGCATGGCAAAAGTAAGCACTGATACATAAAGAATTGTCCTCTGTTAATTACCAACATGTGCAGAGTCTTTAATACAGCACAACACAACTTAAACTGGTAACAACCAAGTCAGCTCCTAAAAATCTCATGTAGAATCCACTGAAAGGAGTGAAGGATTCCTCTCATTTCACACAATTTGACAGACTATTTTATTATCTGTTCCACTTTACACTCAGAAACTCTTGTTATTTCCCAGTTCAAACTTCCACATTGTTGTCTTTTTCTGTATTTTGCAGCATCTCAGCCCAATCTAAGCAAGAAGCACAGAAGCACCCATATTTTCCTGAAAACAGGGAACTGAGACCCAAGAGGAAAGAGCAGGAATCCATGTTTATAGTGCCCAGTTCTGCAAACTTCACACTGAATATGTCTCATGTCCCTTTAACTTCAGTGGGAAATGTAGTATAATAGTTGAGACATAGGCATTTAACAATGTTTTACACTTAAGGAACTTTTCTAAAAATTAATATACTTGACAAAATGCAAAGCTTTACTCTTTAAAAAAGTTCTCAAATGCTCCTGGAACTCCAAATACTAAGTCATTTCATGTTTCCTTACCAATAAACAATCCTACATTTCACTGCTGCTATACACCAACAATGTCTGTGTTAGCAACGTAGCCTGGCTCATCTGTTGTGGTACAACAGTTTTCTTCAGGCATGGATCAATAATGTTCCTTGCTATATATCAAAAAAACTCTTTCTGGCAGACTTTAGTGTTGCCCTTGGTGCATTCTGGGACTAAGTTCATCCTTATGGCAAGCAGTAATTCAAGACTACATGTATTACCTTTCTCCAAGAACTATTATGGCTTTTTCTCACTACACTAAAAACATTTGCAGGCTGGGAGTCCAAGTCCAAGTAACTCTGGGGAGACATTATAAATCTCCACCATTCCCATGTTTATATCTCAGCAGAGTGGTTTTGGATCCAGATGACTCCTATGACCCTTGCACAGAACTGCCAGACCTAAAACACAACCTCTGGCAATTGGTTTGGTTACTAGTGTTCCACTAGTCAAATCTCCAAAGCTCAAACTACTTCTCGAAGCCTCAGACCCAGGGCAGAGAGTTTCCAATCTTTTGCCTGACTGAATTTGCAGCACACACACTGCAATTCAAGATGGTGTGGTTTCTGCGCATTGAGAGAATAACCCATATTTTGCATGACACAGATTTAATTTAAGGAAAAATGCTTTTTTTTTTTCTTTTCTTTTCCTGTGTTACCTGTTGGTTTTGAAATACAGAACATGCCTTCAGGCCTCTACCGTACAAGAAGCTCTCTATGTGTGCCATTTTGATTTAAAACTGACAAGTAACACTCCAATGGCACATCCCACATTGTAAGTGTCAAATGAGATACTCCCTAGGCAGCAGTACACACAAGCTTTTGTCATCCGGCCACCTCTGAACTCCTTTAGCCAAAGTGTTACTTTAGGCTGCCCAAATAACAGTAATTCCAACTAAGTCCTTCACTGTGTTTTCGTCTTCACTTTTGCAAGCTTGAAGTTTTCTTTTTTCCTTTATTTAAAACAAACCAAAACCTTGATTAAATGTAGAGACCTACAGGACTGTAGACCATCAACAGAAGATGGTTTATAAAATCAGCAACTGATGACAGATCAGTCTATTAGATCCCCCACAATAGTGGGAGAGATCTCAAATTTTGAAAGCCACACTTAAGGAGTTAGAATACAAATATAAGCAGAAGGAAATATCATCCCTGTTCATCAAAAGTAAAAAGACGAACCTTGCATTTTCTAGGAAGGAACTACTCCTAGGCAGTTAGTGCTGGCTTCCAATCTGTTCATTTTTGCGCTGCAGTGAAAAATTCTTGTTTGATTTAGAGGATTTTTTTCTCACGGAAAGCAAACTTGACCTCAAAAGGACTTGCAAAAGTAATAAGTAAGGCTCAGGAAGTCTACTACCGGTATATCTAAGAGTAGGATCTCTCTTAATGTGAGATCAGACTGTCTTTTCCAGGTTTTTCAAGCACTGATTATCTGGGTGAAAGTTCATTTCTGTTATCTCTGTGCAGCACCTACTATGAAGCAAATTCTGGTTTGTAACCAGGTTCATGTAATTATGAATGTAGTATAAGCACTTTTATATGACTTCAGAACAAGTGAAAAGTTGCGCACAGCCCTTAAAACACCACTTTCCACACATTTGCATCTCTTTATCCCTTCCTCTCACCCTGCAGTGTGCTCTGTATTCTGCTGATATCCCCAACTCTTTTTCAGAGGCAGAACATTAAAGTATTCTACTTCAGCTCAGATTTTATAGATCTCTTACCAAGCTATTAACAAGAAAAAAAAAAAAAAAGCAAGATCTTCTATGTGCTGTTTTCTATCCATGGATTGTTTTCTGCCTTTTCATAGTTTATTCTCTTAATTCCTATCTCACTCATGTATTTTATTAGTATATGTACACCAGCTTTTCCTGCAAGGTTTAGAATACAATTATCTCCCAGGTTGGCTTTTTTTGGTCTTGAATATAAACCAAGACAAAAACACACGTTCAACACCTAACAAGAAGTATGTGAGTCCATTGTGTGCAATCTCATCTAATTAAAACTAAAACAATGACTGCAAAGTCATGAACATGAAGTTTGAAGTGGACAACTAATAAGTAGCTGTAAAATTAATATAACTGAAAACCAACTTACCCACTACATTCCTCAACTTCGTGCTTCTTAAGAAAAAAATACATTTCCTAACGGAACAAGTAAAACTATGTTACAAGCAGTGCTAAAAAGAGGAGGAATGTGGGATCTGGTGAAGAGTATACTCATGCTGATAACATGGTAAACGATTTTATTAGTAGCTTATGTACATACACCCCTCATATGGGCACAGGAAAAGCCCAGATGCAAAGCTGAGTGAACAAATGTTCCTTCTTATGGAACCAACCAAGGGCCAAAAATAGTTCAGGCAAATTTATGCAGAGATAGTTAAACATCTAGACGCTCAGTTGTATTTACATTTCCATAGTGCCATGGAAAGTGCCAATATAAGTCTGTTTATGTGCCAATTTCATGATAAACAAGTGGGTTTTAACTTGCTGATAATTTGACTCCCTGCAGTCTATCCATCACTCTGTGACCTGACAACAACTGAAGAAAAAGGGTGAAGCGGGAACAAATATGTCAAGATGCCTATACAACCCTTTTGCTATTAATATACTATATGTTCTATAAAGCTGCTATATGAATGCTATTCATTCTGTCAGGAAAAATTGGGGTGGGGTGGTTAGATTTGATTTTCAGAATACCTGTTGCTAATAGTTTAGCTCATACCTATGTTCAAAGAAAAAAGAGAAAAAAATATTACAAACACATACCTGATAAAAATGTGGCCAGAATGTGCTGATGGCAAGTTCTGCTTTCACCCATCCTTCTGTAACAACCCCCGAGACATTCCATATGGGATTGCCCTGTGGCCCCCCGTTCACCTTCACGTAGACGTTCAGAGAGCCGGGGCTCGAACGGTCTCTGCTGGACAAGTAATAGTGGAAGTCGATGCAGTGTGTGTCATTTTCCTTCAGCGTAGGCAACAGCAGGTGAGCTTTCTGCCCAGATGCCCGCCCAGAGCTGTTCACCATCATGAAGGAGCCTACAGAGGAAAGCAAAAAGAGAAGAAAGTGTGGTTTTGATTAGCTTTTTCAGTAAAAACAGTTCCATTAGAAAAGTCAATGACTCCCTTAAAAGCCAGAAAACAAAACATTCATCTGAAGAACTCAAACTAGCTAGTTTATGCTTGTTGTTAGGTAACAGAAAGAAAGGATATTAAAATGGCAGAGCATATACACAAATACATTCAGGGTCAACTAGAAATACTTTAATTAGATATTTTTAAAAACAAAATAAAAACACTATTTTGTTTTTACTTTTTCATAACCTTGTGACAAAACAGTCCCTCTAAACCAAAGCATATTCACACTTCAAGCATCAACAAGGCTCTCCTACAGCACAGAACCCCCCAAAGGCACGTTCAATGCAAAAACTACAACAACGGGCCAACTTCGCAGCTGATGGTTGCCTGCCTGGCTCCTACCCACTTTGTGCCAATCTATACCTGTTAACCCTCCACCTTGGCACTATAAACTTTTGAAGGTTGTAATGTGTTAAGAAAAACCCAATTTTCAGAGACCAAATGAATTAGGCTTGTTTAGAACAACAGCAACATCTCAACTAGAAATAATTCACCAAGGACAATTATTCTTCTAGGAGAGAAGGTCAGGCTGAATTTAGGGAGGGAAAGATATACTAAGGCAATTTATGAGTTTGTTAACCTGGAAGCTTGCATCATATTAACCATGGCACTTGATGTTGAACTCACATTTTGATTCATCAAGCAGTTATTTTACAGCACATTGTGTCTCAACTCATCTCTTCACAGATGCATCAAGGTGACAAATGTTAGCAATAAGAAAAAACATTATGAGAGTTATTTGATTCAATTTTGTCTAAAGGATCTCCTTTATGTGTGTACAGACATTCACACTCAGAAAAAGCGGAAGAAAATACCGAGACTGGGGGGGAGAAAATCTGCGTGTCAGCAGCCAGGCATGATAATTTTTAATCAAATGCAGTCCTCTTGACACTCTCAGTTCTGATGCTGCTGCCAAGACATGCTACAAACGTATTTCTCTGCTGGCCTCTTGCAGTTCACAGAAGATTGAGTTCAAGAAGCCCTGTCTCACTTCTAACCTACTGACTTTTCCCTATTCCATGCCATAGCAGCGTGACACTCAGATGAGCCAGATAAACATTTTGATCAGCTCTGTGCAGTGAACAGCCATATATTCTAAATTTGTATCAACAGATAAGATACCAGCAACTTTCTCCCACAAAGGTGTTTTTTCCCCTGTGTTTATATGATATATATGTATTTTGTAAAAGATTGAAAAGCACGGATGCAGAAGGAAGTCAATCTTTAAAAAAAACTCACACACACTCTAGAGACCTTGGAAAATTCAAGCACAATGCAAGCACAGCTGGGGAAGAGGCTGTGCTAAGAAAGACGAGAATTTATAGGCAAGATGCTCTCTGGCAATCCCGTCATTTCGCTATGCTGAAAATCAAAATGGCCCCAAGTCAGGAAATTCCAGATTCACAGCAAGGACTTTGAAAAACATAAGAACTGAACCCAAACTTTGCAATTTCTAATAATCAGTCTGTAAGATGGGATCCTGACTTATGTTCACTGCTGATCTAATTCTGCTCCCAGCCAAACAAAAACAAACCCCCCTTTTTCAGCGAGTACCATATACATACTATTCTTAAAAATCCACCCAAATAAACTAAAGTTTGACAGCCTGCAATTTGGATTCTGTTTCTATGACCTAAGATAAATTGCCAATAGGCTCGAAGAGGCAGCACAGCCTGACAATGAAGGTAGCAGGCTAGAAACCCGACAGCCTGGTTTCTAAGACTGTGACACTCACTTCCAGGATCTCAGTCAGTACACATAGTCTGCCTTATCTTCCCTTACAAATAAAGCAAGAATAGTTGTAAGAACCACTCTTCTACTGAGAATCTGGGAGGAAAGACGCTGTAAAACTGCTGAGTAACAGTAGTACCATATAGAGGAGTGTAGCAGCTGCTGTGAGATGCGCTGCCTGCAGCATTTCAATGCCATTTTGAGAAACAGTACAAGATACAAAGAAGTTCCACATTTGCCCAGTGTCATACTCGAAGATGATAGCGCAGTCAATTAAAATAGTAAAAAAAGCAGAGCTCCTGTGCATGCACTGGGTTTTTGACTGAGAGCCTGATGCACTGAGTAGGAACCCAGGAAAACCAATTTTTTCTGCACCATCGTTGACTGGATCATTCTTCTTTTGCACATCTTTCTCAACTTTTTTTTTTTTTTTTTTTTTTTTTTTTTTTTTTTTTAATTTGGATAATACATGGATTCCTACTGTAAATAACTACTCTGAAGCTGTACTGGTACTATGTCTAACACAATATGGTCTTGAACTGCACTGGAGTAGGTAAGTGTTTCAATAACAGAAAAAGTTAAGGAGTATTTAACTTTCACAGATTCATGTATAAAAATACTGAGCTTTCCTCTGGGAGAAAAAACATCAGCTTTTATAAAAAGTTCAAAGCAATAATTACAATTTTATTTTTTGCCACCCACAAAAAAATGAATCACAAGCTATTCGTGGTATGACAATGGCCTTTTGTGCAACTGCTGACAATTTTAGAGAGAGTATGGAGCCTGAATCTAGCGACTGACAACACGAGCAAGTAAAATATCCATCCAAAAAGCACTTAAAATAATTAGTCTTAGTTACTAAAAGAACAGTCTTACAAACAATTGTCACATGCAAATTATTCATAAGTTCTTATTTATAGCTTATGAATTTTTTTAATACTGTATTCCTAGAGATGCAGGAGAAAGTACTATAAAAAATAGTCTCCAGTGAAGTCCTGGTAAGAGGCCTTATTTTATATGACAGTGCAAAAAATGAAACATTTCCACTTATAATGCCGTCTCCGTCAGAGAAAAGTACTCACACCTTGTTTAAATCAGTTCGTCACCTACTAAGTATACCACATCCCTTATTTCTGCAGAGACGTAGTGTGGCACCTTCCACAACAAACCCTTCCCCTGGCTACTCAAGGCATAGTGAACAACACCTCAAGCACAGCCATTGTAGGCGGGTGTAAACTTACAGTTTCATCAGGACTATAATTGACATCAGATACAAGAACACATCGATCTAAAAAATTCAGTTATGAGTAAATTATATCCTGTCTTCTAGAAACTGGCCTCCAAATATACTCATGTGTACATATTTTCATTTTTCTTTTCACAGTGTGGACTTGAAGGCATATCCCGTCCCCTGTCCTCTAGGACCTTCAGAAGTTTGCTCTGCATGCTCCAAAATCAACAGCTGAGATCCACTGTCCTATTATAAACACCCATGTCCAGGGAAGCTTGTCTGGCCAGGATGAATCACTTAGAGGTAGGTAGAAATCATGGAAATTGCTCCCATCAGGGAAAAAAAAAACAATCAAACAAACAAACAAAAAACCCAAAAAACCCCCACCACAACCCCCACCAAAACCAGCCTTTTAAGGACAAGTATGGTTTCCCTTATTATCCTTAATAAAAAGTGACATATTGTGATTCAGAGACTGACAGCCTTCTTCAGACAGAACAGAGAACTGAAGCTTATGGGAATTATTCTCAATTTATAGGCCTATATGTGCAAATAAGAGATAACAATCTGGTCTGGCACCAACAAACCACTTGTCACGTTTTCCACTCATATAAAGAACTAGGGAATGAATTAACATGTCACAAATGGAAATTATTGATCAATGGATGACTGAAAGCCACTTAAATTATCTTCAGACAAGAACCTGAATAAAACAAAAGGTATCTTGGAGAAACTCTTATTTAGACCACTGCATACACAAGTTTGAAAAATAGTAACAGTAGAAAAAAAATCATTTAGCCTCACTGTTTTGTTTACATCCATCCAGAGAGTTCAGATGTCATAAAGTCAACACTGAACTGAAAAAATGAGTCCAGGGGAAAAATTATCTACGCTGTGTAAAAGTTCTGTTTTATATTTATTGGACACATAAGTATTTGCTCATTAAAGCAGATTGAATATCAGGTCAATTAAATTTAGTGTTCTTGGAACAACAGGTTAGACTCATTAATATCTTGCTGGTTTTGTCCTGAATAGCCAAAAATGAATGTGTTATGTTTGGATCAGTCAGAAGCAAGGAGGATGGGAAGACGGTAAATAAATTCATTTTTAAAAATCCGTTCAAACGACAGGAACATAAACCGGCACTCTCTCATAGTTATTAAACATACCACTGAAAATTGGGGAATTAAACCATGAAGTGCTCTCTAGCTGGCCATAAATTTCAATTTTTCCCCTGCTTGGTGCATAATGATGCCTTGATAAGCATCCTATTATTGATGCATCTGCAACATATATCCTCTTTTTGGAGCTGAAATGCTACTCTGAAGCAGATGGTGGCTATTGTGTTTACACATCAGCACTTTATGATTGCATTTTCTCACGTCTGCAGTAAAAAGAAAGCCGTAATTGAGTTTTTAATGGCTTTGCACATTGTTCATTAAGATTACATGAGTGTGTGCTGACAAATGACAGCTGAAGAAATGAGCCACTGAGAACCCCTCGTGATCACCAGACAGACCTCAGCTGATGCTGTTTCGGTGTTGGCTTTGAAGAACTGTGCTGTTTAAAAGTGAAATTATAGCAACCATTAAAGACTGAATGTAAACTTGAAAAGAAAGATGTCAAAATGCTTAACTGCAGAACGAGATTTCTAAAACCTTGAAAACCAGAATCAGGTACGGAATGTTCTTTTAAAGAGCAAACTCCTTCCCAAAATAAAGGAATGGGGTTTCCAGCAGCTGTATCAGGTGCAAGAGCATTTTTAGACAGTTTTGCTTATTTCCGAAGAGCAACATTATCTCCAGGAAAGTCTAAAATCTGTCCTCATTAAGGTAGAACAAAGCAACACAGAATAATCCAGGTTGGAATGGGCCTCAGGCCAAGCCCTGCTCAAATCAGGGTCATCTATGAGGGCAGATCAGGTTTCTCAGAGCTTTTA